GAGAGAGAGAGAGAGAGAGAGAGAGAGAGAGAGAGAGAGAGAGAGAGAGAGAGAGAGAGAGAGAGAGAGAGAGAGTTCTTCTTCTTCCTCTTCTAAGTCCACCATCTCCCCCTCACCCTCTCTCTACCTAACCTTTCAGTATCTGCAGACTACGAGAGAGAGAGAGAGATTGGTGACTTTCGGACTTGACGACATTTGGATCCAGACTCCACATTTGGAATGAGACATTGGACGAGGGATTATTTGGGACCTGTACCCAAAAACAAAAAAAACAAAGAAGAAGAAGAAGAAGAAGAAGAAGAAGAAGAATGGATTACTCTCAATGTCACCTCCCCCTCATCTTGCCACCAGGTCATCACCCTCATATCTTCCCCTCCTCTCTTATTGCTCATGAAGAGCCAAAGAACACAAAGAATCATTGCTGGATGAATCTCCGTAGCTAATGTGCTTGAGAAAGAACTCCCTGTAGCCTGTCTGCTGCCAAACGACATCCTTGTACAATGGACAACACGACCGGGTACTCTCCCTCTCTCCTCCTGCTGCAATGCCACCGGCCAGAATGAAGTCTCTGTCCTGCAGAGCCCTTGAAGGATCTTCTTGATGTTGCGCCATTCTTGGGAGTGAAGATGGTAGTCCACAATTGCCAAAGCCAAATTTTCTAGGTTAGCTGAGGTCTTCCTCCTACTCTACAGGCGTGATGTGGGCTCAGAGACACATTACCATAGCCAACCCCTCTTTTTCACCGTCGCTTGCTTAGGTCTCCGTCCATAGCCATGAAGGTTGTCTCCCTCACCTTGAAAGCCTCCACGCGAACTCTTGCCTGCTTCTTTCCTTTCCAGGCTTGGCAGGCGCAGCAGCATCACACCAGCCAGAAACCGAGTGGTGGGAACGGCACACTCTAGCAGAACCAGCACAGCTTCAGCGGCCAAGCTTCTCCTCTGCTGATAGCTCTACCGTCTTCCCCGGAATATGATATTATGGTCGTCATTGATGTACTTGGAGCATTTTTCAATCTAAATACGGCAATAAGGGGGGGGAGACGGTTGACCTTTTCCGAGTGGCTTCCTGGTCTACTAACCTTTCAGAACAGCGGGAAAATCGTCGCGGGCTGTAAGCTGCTGTGAGCCAGACGTGCCTACCCTTTTTTTCAGTCTTCAGTCGAGCACAAGCATTTTTCCGGACCCTGCTAAGCCTACCGGACCCGTGCTCTCTCTAAGCTGCTTGAAAATCTCCACTGGGTCTCTGCCAACTTTCCTTTCTCGTCATCTGACCTAAGTCGCCTAACTCCTAAGCTTACCCAGAAGGGTAAGTCATACTCTGAAATTCCAGTCCTACACCGACGGGGCTTTTTTTAAGGGTTTTTTTTTTTTTTTAATAAACAGAACCTTATGATTCCCGCTCCTTTTCCATTCTGGGGAGCATCAGCCCGGTTCCTATTCCACGGGCAAGTCGGGAAAGAGTACAAGGTATACGCACCGACGGGGCTAGCTTAGTTGGTACACCCATGAACTTTTGAAAGACAGACTCAAGTGCGAACCCAGAAACTGTCAGATGAACAGAATAAATTTCAATAAAATCATTCTGAATTACCTGGGCCCGGTCAGCTCAATGATGATATCCCAAGGCCATCGCACCCTTTTTTTTTTTTTTTTTTTCAATTGGTCCTCCCTGTCTGAAATCCTGCCCTTCTGACGACGACGAACCGGAACACACCCAGGAGTTACTCCTCAGGTACATGCAATTGAGCTGGGACTTGGCAGAAAAGATGCAGATTCATTCACGGGGAAAAAACAAAAAGTACTTCGCACATGGAAATCTCAGCACGGACATATCAAAAGGCGGTGACTTCTCAGAAAACACAGAGCTCTCGCTGTAGTCTGTGATGGTCATTGCGTAGCTGTATCTGGTCCGCTTCCAATTCAGATACAGAGAGGGTGATCTGAAGACCCCATCCCACAGTACTATGTCCGGTTTTTTCCCCAAATAGTGTAAGGGCCTACTAAGGGGTCATAATCACTGTACCTGGTGCCGTTTTCAGCCCCGATACAGATATGCTGACCCCATCATCTGCTGGGGGAAAAGACGGTAGGCAGGGGTTGATATATGCCATAGAGTCCTCGAATAAGTCAAATCTGAGTCAATTCAGCTTTTGAAATAGCTTATGTTAATGCCGTTGTTCGCATGTTGCGCTTTGTATTTCTTTACCTTTCACTCCTTTTTGGAGGTTGGAAATTAAAATTTTGGTGCCCGTTTTGCAATATTCATTTCTGCTTATGTGCGCCCAGTTCAATCGTGTTGTGTGTGCAATTTGAATTGATTTCCTTTCAGGTACGATGTTCACTTCTACGCGTCGTTTGCATTAATATACTTGTTTCCAAAATTAGAACTGAGTTTACAACGAGACATGGCCAGAGCCATTCTTGAGGAGGTAAGCCACTACTTTCTCTTGACCATCTTTTGAAACTATTTTGATATTTTAATATTTTTCTTTGAATAGAAATGGTTAGTCAATGTCCTTGGAGACATCCGCTAAATAGAATCGACATGGTAATATGATGGTATCCTATTTCTATCCGATCTCGTGGATTTTTAATTTTTTTATGAACAAGTTGTTTTTTAGTGTTAAGAAAACTTCAATGTAAGTTTGGTAACTTTCACTGAAGAAAATTCTGAACTGTTTATTTCAAAAATCCATTTGGAAGACTTGAAACTAGAAAACATGGGTACAGATCTACAAGATCAATCAATGCAAATGCTACGAAAATAGAAAGTCAAGTTCGGACAAATAGTCGGCTTCCTGGAGAATTGATGTTGATGTTTAAACCACCACAATGTCCCAAAGTTGCGCCGGTTAATTTGCTGGGATGTACTAACCTGCCTAGCAAAACAACAAATTCATTCATGATGAAGAAAATGTCAGAAATTGTGCAGGCTGGGAAACGCAGGTGGTTTAACAAACTTGAAACTTGAAACTTGAAAGGGGATCCTTGAAGATGAGAGTGCAGAGGTTTGAACATTTATGATTTCTCTCTCCGCTTTTTTTTTTTCTTTTTTTTTTTAAATGGGGAGAGAGCGGTGGGGGACAGGAACTTTATTGTATTACAAAGAGACAGAGAGTAGAGTTTAACTATCTTTGGCAGGTGTTCTTCATCAAATTTGAAATTTCTTTGTTCTTTTTATTATTATTACTACTATCCAGGTGTTGGTGGTGGGGTTATTGGGGGTTCAGGGCCCTTTTTTTTTTTCTTTTTTTTTTTTGGCGGGGTGGCAACCGACCGCCGACCGGTAGGTGCTGACCGGTGGAACGGTCGGCTGGTCGGCCCTCAACTAATCAAGGGGCACCCCGACCGCCGACCGGTAGGTGCCGACCAGTGGAGCGATTGGCTGGTCGTCCCCGACCAATCTAGGGGCGCCGACCGTCGGCGTCAATACTCTGATTATTTTTCCTTTTTCTTCTGCTGGGGTAAAGGAAATTCATGCAAACTATCGGGGATGGACTGTCAGCTTGCGTTGGTTCTTATGGAAGTTAACAGAGCTTGCCCAAAGGGCTGCAATTTTGAAACAGAAGATTGAATTTCAAGCTCAAGAGCATACTTGCGGTGCATCACGTGTACGCTGCGGGCGCACGTGCGGCACATAGCGCACGGGCACGTGATCTTGGTGCACTATTCCGCAGCAACATGTCCGCATAAGCCAGAATCGAAGAAGAGGTAGTTCCTGGCACTGGGCTCCCTTTTGTGCATGTGCCAGTGCCTACCATGTGACTCTGGCCCTGCTGCGGCCGACAAAGATTGGCCTGTCATGGGGCCCTTCCAGGGACTGAGCTGTGACTTGGCCAGGACTGGACACGTGGCAACTCCCTACGTACTGACTACAAGGGACTTCTACTCTTCCTACCGGCCTTGGCGTGTCGGATCTCTATTTTGGTCTGTGCTGTGCCTACCGGAAAGTTCTACTGCGGCCCTATGGGACAAAACAAAATGGGGCACGAGACCAGGGCTGTTCTGCGAAGGCGCGTGAATCCTTTCACTAATTATTGGTGGCTCTTTCCACGTCATGAAACCCGCTGAAATTCACTTGCGCTCAATCGTGGTAGCGGTGGTCAGCACCTTGCAGTTCTTTTCCTTTTTTTTCTTTTTTTTTCTTTTTTTCCTTTTTTTCCTTTTTTTTCTTTTGTGAAATTGTCATTTAGCAGCGCATTTTTCATCATCGGAGATTGTCATAATATTGATGGCCCGTGGCCCCGTGCATCTTCTGTGATTTCTGTGGTTCCTAACTGCCAGCCATCCCAATGCCTCTTCACTGTCATCAGGTTTCCGACGAGGTCATGTTCTTAGCGGGCGGCGAACTAGGAATGCGGAAGGTGGCAGGATGCGTGCCTCACGACATGGGAATCTCCAATCCATGGATCAGGCTGAACGCCTACAATATTCATGATACCAGCCGTTGGAAGGACCTTAATTCCAAGTTCGTCTTGCAGGCAAGCTTAACAGACATGATGTGATTTACTTGCTCCCGACGTGATTTATAATTTTATATGTACTGAAACACTGATTTATTAGATTTACTTGTTCGGAATGTGATTTACCTTTTTCGTAATGTGATTTACTTATGCTGCAACTCTGATTTACCTGTTCCCAACAGAATGTCTTGCAGGGAAGCCAGACAGGCTCAGTACTTGTTCCCGATGTGATTTTTACTTGTTCGTGTGTGGTTTTCGATAGTCATCAGAGTTTCATGGCATCCCCTACCTGTTAAAACATCAGAGGTTGAGCACTGGACTCATGCGAACTTTTTTCGACTGATTTCTGGACATACTTGTGGTCAGATACATCCGGAAGGGGTTTTATTTGCAGTCAGAACCAAGTGGGAGTACGTTCTTGGGCCTAGACCCAAATGGATGTTCTAGTCTGGCAAGTAGTTGTCTGCATGGCCAGCATCCCAACCACGTAGACGAGGGGGAAGGATGCACCCGTAGGGGAGGAGGAGGAGAAGAATACTTGAGGAAAGGGAAGTGGGGAAGAAACAAGGGAATAAAAGGGCAAAGGAACAGGGAGGAGCCTGGTGGCACCATATCTGTACTGTTGGGGTTAGGCGCTGCCGTATCTTGATCTTCAGGGCAGCAGTTGTCCTATTCTTGAAGCTGGAGCTATTGTGCTGCTCCGGCAGCTCGGTGGCATCAAAAACAATCTTCAAGCAGCGTTTACGCACTGCAGATGAACAGGTCCGAAAAGACCTCTACCTCTACTAGCTGACTCTACATACAGCTCTCTGCCAACCTAAGACACAGCTAAACTAACGGCATGACTTCTCCAGTAACGGTGGGATCGGTCCTAGGCAGTCATGAAGAGTCAAAAGTCCCTTGCAATAGCAAAAGGTCCCCAGTCCCTTGCAGTAAGCTGATCCTCCACAGCGGATTTTGAGCAGGCGCTGGTGCTCCTGCACGGGCTCTGGGATGGCACTCTGGATTCTGAGTTGATGCTGTAGGGCGCTGGTGCAGACGGAATGATTTTTGGGAGGTAGCGCTGGTGGTCTGCTTGTCTGAGGGCTGGGTGATAGTTTGCTGTATGGGCGCCATAGCCAGGGATGAGTGTGCAGGCTGGAGGAGGAAGGTGGAGACCCTAGAGGGCTTGTTGAAGGTGGTTTCGAGGTTGTTYGAGTTTGTTCATTCTCGGCTGGGATTGTTGGAGTATTGTGAGGACGAGAGAGATGGGGGACTCTGCATTGATATTTTTTAATTCAATTTTACTTGAATTTTGAGCTTCCCCTGTGCATATTTGAGTCCACTGTGGTGTGATACTCTCTCGGAATCTGGTTTGTTATCTTCCGTGTGTATGGGAACATGCTGATACACGGATGGATAGAATTTCAATCAGTCACGTAGCACTCTTGTCATCATCTTGTTACACCTAGGACAAGGAATCCTGTCCGCAGTTCTGAGAGGTGCAAGGTCTATCATGTCTGCGTACTTGAGCGTGGAATGTCAACACACCCATTGTCAGCACACCTGTACCTTATATTCTGTCTGTTGTCTTAGTGATGCTCATTCGTATGAGTTTAGTTCTGCACGAGGGAAGGGACGAGGGAAGCGGAGAGAGAACAGGACAGGGGAAAATATGGGGGAGTGTGGAGGGAGGAAAAGAGCAGGGGAGAGTGGACCTCCTTGAGTCCTCAATGGAGCAGACTGATAGAGACTGGCACAAGAGGCCAGTCAGGGGTTGGGTCGCAGGGAGCAATGAGCCGAGGAGCAGGCGTTGCCACTTCTGCCGAGCAGATGTCGACTGTGGAAGCACTTCAGCTGCATCAAATGTGAGGGCGCAGGCACATGTGTGTGTGTGTGTGTGTGTGTGTGTGTGTGTGTGTGTGTGTGTGTGTGTGTGTGTGTGTGTGTGTGTGTGCATGTTGTGTTTCTCTGTGTGTGTGTGTGTGTGTGTGTTGTGAAGAGTCTGAAGATTCCTTTTAACATTTCATCATCCTGCTTGTGCTACTTTGACAGGTCTACAGAGATTATGTTGTGACCGGGGACATGGGNTGTTGTGTTTCTCTGTCTTCATTTTTTTTTTTGGTGTGTGAAGAGTCTGAAGATTCCTTTTAACATTTCATCATCCTGCTTGTGCTACTTTGACAGGTCTACAGAGATTATGTTGTGACCGGGGACATGGGGTTTGCTCATTCCATCCACAAACCGGTACGTCTCCAGAATGTTCGCTTAATTGCCTTTTCAAAGTTTTCACTTTCTTTTGAAGTTTTTTCTTTTTTTCTTCCCCTATTTTTATTTCCCTGAAAAGGGGGCAATGCTGGTTATTGAACTGTGGATCATCATGTCAACAAACACAGGTCATTCAGCATTCATGTATGGATTCTATGGAAGTTGAAAATCTCTTAAACCACCAGTGTGGCACAACAAGCCCCCTGCTATGCACCGCTTCACGTGGAGCTGCCTCCAGGAGCGACCGACCAGATCAAGAAAAGCTGACAGCCCCAGCAGGCTCTGCCCCAGCAACAGCTTGATATTCCTGAGATCGGCAAAATCGAGCTTTGGAAAAAAATCGCCCAAGCGTACTACTGTCTCTCCCCGGGTGCAGCCAGATTGTGATTCTATACACGCTCCCAATACAGTCATGATGTGGGTGCGTTGTTGTTTGGGGGGAGGCGGTAGTGGTTTAGGTGGCATGAGTTTCCTATGTATAGCAGTTGCTCTTTGCACAGGAGTCATGCTAGTCTTCTGGGTATCGTGCTAGCATCGAGTCTTTTGACCCCAAGCGGCAGGCAGACGGAAACATTTTAAAATTTAAAGGAACTTTTTTTTTAATTTAACGGAACTTTTTTTTAATTTAAACTTTAAAGGAACTTTTTTTTTAATTTAAAACGAACTTTTTTTTAATTTAAAGTCTTTCTCGTTTTTCCTTTCAAAAAAAGCAACCTGTGACCTTTTGCACCATGCTAATGCAAATTGCTTGAACCACCAGTACCGAACCCACCTCCTCCAAAACTCATGGCCATATGTACGCTGCAAAATGAAAGGATCAGCCTACCTGGGGGGGTGTACAACTTCTGAGTACCCCTGGGTCATATTTCTAGGCGCCTGGTCATGAATATCGTGCCTGGAAGAACACCGGCCGTCCGGCTGGGCAGGACACCCAGGCAGGGTCCTGGGCAGCCCCAGGGAAGAACCAAGTCATTGTCCTTGAACCGCCACCTTCACCTCCTGAAAATTTCGGCCAACCCCTGCAGACGGTACAAAAACCTGTGGCCGTCAGATCGTCAATTCACTACTAGGCCAATTGAAAAAGAGGGACCCGCATGGTAACCACGACCGTAGTAAGACATGGTGCTAGTGCTGGTTTACGCAATGGTCATCATTATGGTTCTCTCATGTTAGTCAGCAAAACAGTTTGCAGTCTCGTAGAGATTTAGCCACTGCTTCTATGCTATTTTCGTTGTCAATAGGACCAACGACCTTTATGTTTGTGCATCTACCTAGGCTACCAGCCAGGCCACCTGGGTCCCAGGTGGCCAGCCCGTGCAAAGACCAAGGAAGGTTCCAGCAAAAAAAAAAAAAAAAAAAAAAAAAAAAAAAAAAAAAAAAAAAAAAAAAAAAAAAAAAAAACCAAAAATTGGCAAAAACATTTTTTTAAAAAAACTATGTTATGCAGAAACATAAGCTGAACAACTTTTGCCTCAGGGTCACATCGAAATTCTTCACCAAATTTAAAATAAAAAATAAAATTCAAAAATAATTTTCATGGTAACCCCGGACCCGGACACTTCCGGACTGTCTTCCGGACCAGTGTCTGGACCGGTCCGGACTGTCCGGTGATCCGGACATCACCGGACACCGGACAGTCCGAACCGGTCCCCGAGGTGCACAAATGTCCGGACCCAAAAGAAAAGAAAAAAAATAAAGAAAAAAAAACATACAAAGTATTACAAACAAACAAACAAACGGGGAGG